GCGATTTAAACTGAGGTACCTTAAATCCGACAAGTTGTCCGGCTAAGCAAAAAATCTTGCTTTTTCATATGGGTCGATGGTATTGCTACTTCTTTGGCAAATGGAACGTATCCAACTCGGTTTTTCCGAGTTCTTACCGGATGTGACGTAATCTCGGATTCCGAAAATCGGAATCCGAGGCAAATGGAATGCACGATAAGTATACTTACCCCCACTGGGCATAGAACAGAGCGCTAACTTTACAGTAACCAACTCCCCTGAATGGCAACATATGAGGAAACCACAAGTAAGTCCCATGTGAGCAGGGTGCAGACATGCAGACATTTTCTTTCTATATTTTTTTTTCCTCAACCCCTTGCCTCACATTTGTACATTAGAAGAAAAGGAAATGGAGATTGGATGAATAAAAGATGCCGTAAAGAGTGGATAAAACTGGTTCTGCTTGGTTTGGTTAACTGCACAGGGACCGTGCGAAAACTCCCCTCACAAGACTTAATTTAAAGCATCAAAAATTGTTGTTTCGCAAAATAACAGAGACAGAGAGAGAGATGAGAGAATAGACAGGGAGAGAAAACAAGAGGAACGGCGAGCGCTGCGGATTAATAAGGCAGTTTTTCATCCGAATAAAATAAGGCTCACATTTCATACTCCACAGAGAGAAGGAAGAACGAGTGAAAAGAAAGAAAACCAAAAGCACAACACGCAGGGAGGTGTACACTCAGTGCAGGAAAATAAGCATTAGAATGGACTCATAAAAAAGGGGAGGAAGACGATTCTCTGACGGCGGGACAAAGATGGGACTTACAAAGACCTAGGACTGTAAACCAGGGATATCGACTTAATTCTTCTCACCCTGCTTTAATTAGCTCAATTAATTATTCTACAAACTATACCAATACGTGGTAACACTTTACTTAAAGCAGTCAACTATAATACATTAGATACCTTCATAATGAATTACATGGATTCATAAAGTATTTTGAACACGGCTGTAACTATTTTAAAAAAGGCATAACACATTATAGCCATGTTTATTACGCATTATAAATGCTTTATGAAGCTCTGATCTATAATGCACTATAAATACCTTCATAATGCATCACAATGGCTATACTGATCATTATAATGCATTATGAAGGTATCTGTAGTACATGTAATGTGTTTTGCCTTTTATAAATAGCTATAGCAGTGTATATTTCATGAATGCATTATAATGCATTATAATGACTACTTTACTTAAAGCGTTACTCAATATGTTTCCCTGAAAATACATTTATATTAAAGAGCAGAGCTAGAAATTCTGGGCCCCCTGACAAAAAGTCACCTTGGGGCCCTCCTTATATTATTTTATGATTTTACAGACACTTCCCCGGTTACAATATTTGTATTGGGGGAGTGGGGGGTTGCAGGGTCCCTCACCAAATCCGATGAGGCCCAGGGTCTCGCCGCGGATCCGAGCCGCGCCGGAGGCCACCTCGCGGATCTGCTCCACGCTCTGCACGCGCGTGCCCTCCCGCAGGGCCTGGTACAGCCACGTGTTCCGTCGGTACAGGTTCAGGATGTGGCACATGGTGGAGTCGGCCGTCTCCTCCACCGCCGCCGAAGGGATGTTGCACACGGCGATCCCTAGGGGGCGCACATGGGCACAGGAAATTCGTGCATAATCTATGATTGCTAATATTCAGCTCTACCCACCTCCAAATCCTCCCCACACATACATACAATTTAATAATCTCTCAACACAAAGAACATGTATTCCCTCCCATATAGATAATGAATGCATGTAAAATCACAGATATCTACCAATGAACTGTTCAAAAATCACACAAAACTCTTATTTGGGCTATAAATACAGTAGTGGGGGGGCGGGGGGGGGGGGGGTATGTCGTATCTGCTCTAAAGCTGGGAGGTTCGCCTTTGCATCAGTTATGATCTGTCACAGTTACTCATATTAAATGGCCGTCTGTCACAATAATTTTAACATGTTCTTTCATACTCGCATTCCACTTCCTCCCTGAGGAAATACCACCGCTTCTCTGCACCTCACTCCCAATGGCACTTCATTCTCATTATCTGCAGCTTCGATCCTTTGCTAAGCCTTTTCAACCAACAGCGTGGCAGTGATAGTCGCTAATGCCGTCAGCTGGCAGAAAGGGGGATCTCGACGGACTCCGAGGCCTCGTAAAGCGTTTTGTCAGATGTCATTTAGCCAGGAGCCACGTCAACTGCATACGAGGAGGTTCACAGCTTTGCGAATGGCTCACTCTGTAGCAGCTGTAAGGTTCTCTTCTTCGGGAAAGAGACAAAACAGCTCCAGTGACATGCAAAAGTAATTCTCCAAGCTCCCGTTATGAGATCTGCAGATATTGATTCAGAGCGCCACATGAGAGCAATCATGGACGCCCATCTCGACAGCCTTCAAGGAAGTTTGCGTTAGCAGCCTAGAAAGTTTGGCTGATATTATGGTATACTAAGGTATTTTGGGAATAAAATGTTGCCGACAAGATTTCCGAGTGGAGTGGACCCCACGATAAAATTGGCCGTGAAATTTCAAAATACCGGAGTAGCACCGCTTTTGAAAATAGCGTCAAAATACCGTATACTGCAGTATAATGTCTGGACGGTATGAAAAATTAGATACTGCTTAAGCCTATGGCTCAGTATCTTTGAGAAACTGGCGCGAAAGTTTCCAGATGTTTCCCTACCCAGCTCCCCGGCAGCCTTGATGTCAATGTTGTCATAGCCGCTGCCGATGCGTATTATGATCCGTAGGGCCTTAAACTTCTCCAGGTCCTCCCTGGTGAGGGTGATGGTGTGGTACATCATGGCACCCACAGCCTCATTCAGTACCTAAGGCAAAGAACAGGGCACCTGCATTATCACCTTACCTCACCACCACGTCAGCATGTGACTGTATGCCAGGTTCTTTTAATCTAGGGCCTGCTGACCCAATGCATCTGCTTGTTTTCGTCCCAGCAGAAATCTTAATGAATTACATTGTCAAGTGAATGAATGAATGAATGAATGAACGAATGAATGACAGGACCCAAATGAAATGAAATTAAATTAAAATATGACAATTTGCACCTTAAAAATACAAGGTGCAAACTGGGTACGTCATAGTTAAATAATGACCCAGGCAGATAAACTCATCCAGATTTAAAACCTTCAAAAACTGCACAGCATGTCATAGTGTTAGATGCAATGTCAGGCTGCTGACAAACTGCGTTTACAAACGGTGAAGCATAAAACGACTAAAACTGCGCAGCTGACTGAGGGAAACGCAGACGTGCGGATGCTAAGCAAACCTGAGCTGGATCTCAGAGTAAGTAATAGCTTCACACTCACCTTCAGCTAACTATATTAACCCTGCCTGCCAGATTAGCTGTGAATTTACATAAAGCTTTTACAAGAGCTTTGGCCCAAGACTCCCTGCTAGACATTAACTCAAGGTTAAAGCTCTGCCTACACATTAATTTAATTTCTTCTGTTCTTTGCCAAAGGCTGGGTTTACTAGCAAAGCACCCCCATGTGAATAATGACTAAAACAATAAAACATTTTGTGAGACAAATCATTTCAAAATACCATGTGTAGGTCCACAGAAAACATGGCCGTTTTCCATTTGTTAAGCCAAACGGCAGTTTAGGGACATGCTTCCTGACGTGCATTTCATGCGACGCTAAACCTGTGGCAACCACCACCACCTTATTACAAAAACCTGATTATGCCCTACCCCCCCCCCCCTTCATCACCACAGAAACACACACAGGGGTAAACTCTAATCCCAACATCATGACCTTAACCCCTACCCAACCTTTACCATGAGTAACCAAACAAAATATGAGACTTTTGGCATTTTTAGTTCTTTGACTGCATTCACAGATCTTTGCAGGGACCTAAAAAATGGTTAAATGATGAAATAAGGTTTTTATTACATTGTGGGGGACATTTGGTCCCCACACCGTAATATAAACATAATACACAAACACAGACACATTGGATAGTCCTTCCTCCTTCCCCCAAAGCGTTCCTCGCTAAGTGCTGGATTTTATGGCTGTGATGTCATCTCTCTGGTGTGCTCATTTGACTCCGTGGAAACAGTCCACGAAGCTGAAGCCAGCGTCTTTATGCTGCTGTACCATTGCTGGAGCTCCTTACCCCCCCCCCCCTCAACCCCCACCCCACTGAGTGTGCTCCACCCCTCAGGAATTCATTGCAACTGTTTACCCTACACACTCCACCCAGTATTTCACTCTCTAACTCTTTAATTCCTGCATTTATTCAGGCTGTTTTTTTCTGGGTGGGATTGCTTTCCGTGGCTCGCGTCAAGAGAATGTTTTTTTTTTTTCTTTTGCGCCCAAATAGAACAGATTTGAATAACAAGCAACTTGTTATCATAAAAACAGAACAATGAGAGGGAGAAAAAAAACTCATAGTTCCCATGGACATTAATTATATTGCATTTTTTGCATTATGCAAATCTTGTTTTCCGTTCTCTGAGTAATAAAACTGTCAAGGCATGTTTTTTTTTTTTTTTCTTCAAAAAAGGTTTAAAACATCATAGAAAGGGTAACAAAAAAAATTACGGGATCATTTCAAAGTTTCGCCTTTTATGCAACTGAGAGAAAAAAAATCTGGCAGGTCTGATTTTGTTGATATTTCAGAGCAAGGCCAGATCTTGGCCGCAGTGTTCCTGCTGCGTGTCACCATCTCTTCCTTCACGGCTGACCACCAGCATCCCAGCGCCCGCACCTAGGGAGGTGACCTAATCATCCCCATGCACCGGCAAAAGAACGAGACCCCCGGCCCCCGATTTTCATGCTGGGCCTCTCACATGCTGAGCGCAGAGTCACATCCTGTGCCTTAGCTACACTGAACAAACAAAGACATAAATACACAAAGGAACAAACAAATAAATAAATACCAGGAACACCTCCAAATATGAGCTCAACCTGACCGACTCCTAATCGCACCAAATTGTCTTATATTGCTCCCAAGGAATGAAAGGGCCGAATGAGAGCATAGGGCATGTGGGTTTAAACACTGTGCGGTCCCATCTGCTCCACAGGAAGCGATAGGATTAAGCATGATGCCCTCCCACTAAGAACAACCTGATGGCTGTATCTGGCTGCCCCCCCCCC